GAGTTGAGTGCATTGTTACGTATGTATATGTGTATATATATATATATATATATAAATAAATAAATAAATACACATTTAAATATACAATGTATATGTGTCCCATATATGTATGTACATATATATATATATATATATATAAAATTCCCAACTTTATTTTTCCATTTTTGTGAAAATAAATAATTGAGTATTTAAACTGTTATAACTTCATTGGTATAAAAAAAAAAAGTGAAAAAAATAAGATAGGATCAGTGTGAATATTGTGATATAAGGAGTGTGAATGTTGCATTCTTTTGTCAGGGAGTCATATCTCAGAGGTTCTGCAGGAGAACACTGCTCTGATACAGCGTCTCAAGATGCTAGAGGAGGAGCAGGAGCAGGAGAAGGAGGCCTTACAGGCTGATGCTGCCAAAGCCAGGGAGGAGCTGCACAGGTAGGTTTTACTTGCGATCACTCGAACACATGCTCTTTAGTGAACATCAGGCTGTAATGTGTTCTCTCAGACACCAGGAATGTGCTGCTGAGCAGATCTCTTCTCTGAAGGCCCAACATCTTAGGGAGTTGGACCAACAGCGTGCCACTCATGCCCTAGAACACTCGTCCTCAAAGGTCGCAGAACAGGCGAATTGGATCGACACTCAGAAGGTACTGCTTCATGTGTGTCATCACCAGTGTTATTAGGTTTTGTTGGTATTTTTAGTGATTATAACTTGACCTCTATCTACAGATTCAACTGAAACATCTGCAGGAGCAACTAAAGGAGCTGCAGGGAACCAAAGATGCTCTAGCTCTTTCCATGACCCGAGAGAGTGTCCTGGAGAAGCAGGTGAGCTTTTTTTGTTTTTTTCCCTATGATTTTGTTAGATTGCTTTTTGCCCTATTAAATCTATCTACCATTAATTTACCTCATTTGCCCCCTTTTTTAAATATGAAAGCTGATGAGACTGTTTAAAGAACTACAAGAAGCTAAAGATGCTCAGAGCACAGAGGTGAAGCTGCTCTGTAGTCTGGAGAAGAAGGTGGTCAACCTGGAGCTCAGGCACCAACACAGAGAAACTTTGATAAACCAGGTACGTTATCACAGAAGTGATTCTAGTGGAACTACTGCTGTGCTGTGTGTCCTTTGCTTGATGCGTCCCATCAGATGTCAAGTGTGTGGTAGTAGTAATGTAAAATATTTGAGTACATAACTTAACTATTATCCACTTCAGCAGCCTATCATGTTGTTTCCACAGATCCTTAAAAAGTCTGAAGGCATTAAATTACTTCATCAAAATTACATTGACATTAAATTTGATTTTATTAATTTCAGACTCTTAAAAAAGCCAAAATCATCGAGTTTAGTTAGGTTAGGTTTTTATTGATCTTGTATGTCAACACTGTAATGAAAAAGAAATGGATTAAATGCTAATATTACTTCTTAAGATTCACTGAAGACCTCTGATAACTCTCTTTATCACTAGCTGTAACAACAGATTTAACAAATAAGGATTTCTTTGAGTGGCCTTATTTATTTATTTATTTAAACAGTAAATAAATAGTATTAAAATATCACGTTACTGGCATTTAAAAAGTCTTTAAAAACCTACAATTCTTGATTTACATTTATAACAGTAAAGATGTTGCCATGTTGTCAAAGACAATGCTCTGTTTACTCAAAAGGCTTTTTAAAAATCTTGATAGCAGAGTCATATAGCAGTTTGATTGCTGTTACTCCAAAAATTGCAAAAAAATTAAATTTAAAAATAGGCCAAAAATGATAATGCATAACTAACTACTATAACTTGACAAAGAAATTTGAATAATAATCAATAATTTGGACTATAACTTGACAAATAAATTTGAATAATAATCAATAATTTGGAAAAATGCCCCATAATGAAACTAATAAACTAATGTCCAGTTTAACATGTACCCTAACAGTGGGTCATGAATAAACATCAAGTCAGAAATTGCAGATATAGAAATATGACATTTTTGTCCATCCTCGTTCCTGCAGAGGATCAGTGGCTCTTGGCAGATGCTGGAGTCCAGCCCACAGTCAGCTGAGGTGGAACGATGGAAAAGTGTGGCTCAGGAAAAGTGCAAAGAGATTGAGACGTTCCGTCTGGAGCTGGACTCCATCCTGGACATTATCAGACACCTCCAGAGACAGGGTGTGGTTTTCCCTCCTCCAGGTCAATCTCATTAAGGCCAGTTTGTGAACACTTTTTTACGTAAAATCAATAATCAGTAGCCATAAAATCTGCAGGGAAAAACAATCTCTTGAAAAAATTATGGTTGTAAAGAAAATGTGTAGATTTTTTTATTCACTTTTGCATTGATTTAAATTAAATTATTAGACTATTTGTTGTCATAAAAAATAAATATTTTTACATTATTTTATAGTAAAAAATAATGTTCCTGTACAACATGTGACGTTATCAATGCTTTGACTCACAAATACAATTCCTGTTTATTTTAACAAACTTTATGCTACACATCTTTAATTTGTATTGAGTGAGATGGTCTACTACAAACATTCAATACAAGTACATTTAAATCATTTGGTTCAATATTTTAGTTACCTGTTAATTAGCCAACAGGTAAGTGACCGGCTGCATTTTTTTAATTGAAAATCTGGCCCAAAACTGAATAGAGTGAAAAATTAAATGATCCAGTGATGCAAAGAACCCAGGGTAAATAATGCAAGTAGCTTTATAATGAGTTTGAAAATAACTGCACAGTTGAGATTACAAATCCATTTTAATAACAAACATTAATAGCTATAAGAATATGCGTCCTCTTCTCTTTCTGTGTTTGCATAAACATTTGAATTTGTAGTCGTTCAACTAAAATCTTACAATGAAACAAATTAAAACAACAGATAAATATAGTTTTGTCCATTATCCTCAGGATCCAAAGGTTGTTTATGCATAGAAACACAAAATGGCTTTTATGTTATTTCCACATACACAAGTTCATAAATATAATTTCAAACTCTTGTTAATCATCCACTATTCCTTAATATTTTTTTTTGTGTCCAGCTATGACTGGTTTTGTTAGGCCATGAGGATCCCCCTCCCCCTCACACTCCCTCTGCCGTTTTCTGTGTGGCACTGTATAGTATAAACGTAGGAGCTGGAGAATTTACAAAAAGCTCAGTCGCAGCTCTTTGGCACCTTTTGTGATTTTGTACTGCCGAATGTAGTGGCTGACAGCTGCAGACCCTGAGGGGGGCCAGAGTCGCTGTCTCTTGCAGGCTGACAATCGACAGAGACCTCTGACATCATCCACAGAAGGCATGGATCTCTGCTTCACTGAAGCCCTGCTGCTTCAACAGCCTGAGAAAAGGACAGAGAAGGAGAGGTAAAAAAAAAAAAAAAAGTTGATGAGTTAATGTGGAAAACTTTGATAGACATCATCATGTTGATTTGATTTTTAAGCCTTTAAATGTTTTTTGGGGGCAGTGGTGGCTTGGTGGTTAAAATAACTTGGGTAATAAAGTGTAAAAAAGTTGTCACACACCCTATTGCTTGATCAGTAAAGGCTGTGGGACCACACACACACACATAGTATTTGGACCCCTCTGGCCTCATGATGAAATCCTCCAGAATGGACTCACTGATCCGACCCTTCCTGCCACTCCAACTCTCGCTGGGCTCAGAGAGGATGTGTTCCACCTGGAACCTAACACATACACAACATTTGGTCAGCTAATGTCAGTATTTTTGATGCTTTAATTTTTTATGTAATTAATAATTTACTGTACCTGTTGTTGTTTGCAGCCAGCTCTTCCAGTTGGGAGGTCCACAGAATGTCTTCTTCCCGGCGGTTAAAGAACAGAAGTCTGGTTTTCCTGAAGACAAAAAAAACAAGGTTTGAGTTTCTTTAGATTTGGATGTGATTGATATAGTTTAAATAATCAAAAGGTGACATTTTTAACAAGATCTTGGTTGAGTGAGTTTCCCACCTGATTGTTTCACTGTCCTGTGCCAGCTGGATCAAACGGGCCATGGGTGTGAATCCTGTTCCTGCTGCCAACAGGAAAAGGTGTGATACATCACGGAGGGGGCGGACAGAGAAGGGACCTTCTGGACCACTAACAGATATATGCTCTCCTGGAGAGAAGCACCAAAAAAAGGTATTTAAAAAATACACAATTTTTTTTAGTATGACAGAATGAGAGAAACTGTCTACTTCTGTTGGTCAACTATACTAGGTGATGACTGTCCTCAGTCTCCTCTTCCTTCTATTGATCTCATTGTCCTGAGAGACAAACTCTGGGTGGTGACTCACCTGTGTTGAGGCTGTTGAGATGTTGAGTGAAGACTCCATCTGGGTAGACTTTGATCATGAGGTAGAGCTCTGACCCTTCTGTGGAGAGCTGAGAGGCTGCAGTCAGGTCCCGATCCACCGGCGTGTACGGCCGCACAACGTCTGTGTCTGAGATAATTTATTCACAGTGTTATATCAAGTATTTAAAATAATTCTCAACTGGGTATTCCTTACCTTCTATGAGCGTTCTGAGGTAGACATGTTTTCCTACAGGCACATGCATGATAGTCCCTGGTGGCATTTTCAGTCTGAACATGTAGCTGTTGTGGTTGACTTCATTTTTAGACACCAGCACACAGTTTCGATAAAATGGAGCTGAAAACAGTATTTCTGCTGTTAAATTTGACAACGACGTGTGATACGTGTCTCCACTTTAATTTGGAATCTTACTTCTGTCTTTTTTGAGTAGAAATGTGTTGTGGGAATCCAGCGGTTGACCAAGACTAGTCCATTTTTCTTTGACCTGCTTATGAATGCTAATCTGGACCTTTCCCACTGAGAAGGCAGAGTGAACTGTTGAAGAAACAAGAGTTGCTGACATAACTGTAAACACTGGCTTTTTAAAGACTTTTGTGTAACACACAGATCTTGTCTTACCAGAAACATTGTCCTCTATGTCTTCAGCTAAACCTAAAGATGATAAAAACAAAAATGGAACCATTGATGCACAATAGAAGCACAAAAACAATTTTATGTGCTTTTAGGCAACAACAATATTTCTCATCAATTCTTTGTGTACAAAAAGACTGGAGAAATACTTCACATATCTTACCCCTGTTTAACTACAGTTTAGTTTAAAATCTGAAGGAGCAAACTTAACCAAAACTGGGCTTTTCTTTCAACATTTTAATAATTTTGTCTTCAACTTTTAATATTCTCTTGTACTGTACTTATAACTTTTAATATTTTAATATTCTCTTGTACTGTACTTATTCGAATTGCCTATTACAAAAAAAAATCAGATTTCTTTGTTTGACCAGTGATTGCTTGAGATAATAAGGTTAAAAGAAATTAACCTTATTATCTCAAGCAATCACTGGTCAAACAAAGATGCTTTACTAAACCGTTTTGTTTACTCACATAAATGTATCAGGTAGGACATTTTGCCTAGTAACAGCTCCACTCGTAAAACACCTGCCCTGAGGTCAACAGTAGTACACCCTGAGCTGGGGATCTAAAAAAACAATGCACATTAATACAATTCTCTTTACTATTTTTTACTAAAACAATTCTGACAAATCATGAATTCATCAGTAAAAGATGCCTGAAGTAAAAATAAAGTAAAAGATGGGTTATCATAGATCACAAGGTTTACCTTTCTTTTGGCATAAACAACCAGATGAACAGTCACGTCAGTCTGGAACCAGTCGTACCTGCACCCACAGCAATTAGGAAAATTGTGTATGACTCAATTTGTGTGACTCTTACCAGATTAATGTCATGTGACTTATTCTGAGAAATATCTGTCATACCGAGGTCGAGAGTCTTTGTCAGGAGGTGGCACTACTGTTGTGGGAAGGGTGGGGCCAGCTGGTGATGGAGGAGGAATAATAGCTGAGAAGAAAAAGAACGAACCTCACTATTTACTTTTATACACAGTTAATCGGTATTCTCTAATAAAAAGGGACGTGTGTGTGTCCACGTATATACCTTTAGTAGCTGCGGTGGGCTTAGTAGCCATCCTGCCCACCAAACACTCCTTTAGCATAGACTCATAGTTCACCCAGCGATGAACCTGTGCACCAACAAATGAGCACAACTAAAGATACACAGAACAGCTGTGGCTGCCTCATAAAATAAAAACAAACACATGATCCGTTCATGCAAGGTGGTAGAACTTTACTCATCTACACCACAAATAAAGTTTAATGGCTTCTAACATCTGTCCTAAACCACCTTTAATTTAATCTATTAAGCCAAAGTGTATTCATATCACATAGTAATTTACATCAATATTTCAGAATGAAAGTGATGACAATTTGTAATCAGTTCAAATAATGTTGCATGACATCTCATAAACCTTACACACCTGATCAAACAGGTCAGTGCCATCTATACCAGCTGCCTTCATCAGCTCCTCTTCTCCACCAGGATGATAGTCCATGTAGGGAGTCACATTGTAAACCATACCTTAAAAACACGCAAGAAAAACTAAACATGTCTGTCTGTTAAATTTGGTATCATGTTAAAGTAAACAGAGAAATTGTATCACTGGGGTAAAATGTAAATATCGTGCAAGTGCACTCAGATTCTGACCCCTGACCTCTATAGAATAATTTTAATGAAATACAAGTTTCAGTGTCTGCAGATGTATCTCTCTAGTTTCTTGTGAGCAAAGTGCAAAGATCCAATAATTATTAAATTATATTAAATTCTTAGCAACTGCTACATCCAGACCTGTCATTCGACTCTATCTCTGGTTGATGTCATCTATGCATAATTACCTCTTATGCAGGTCCAGCAGTCAGTTCTTGTATTGTGCTTGGAAAGCTCCTCCTGGGTTACTTCAATCAGTCGTCCCCTAAGTCCAGTCAGGTCTTTACCACTCTTGGAAAAGCGGATCCAGTCCATTAAACTGTGGCCCGGCTTTAGGGCCACCTGATAAAACAGGGACAGAGCCACGCAGAAATTAGATTAGATTAGATTATTAGATTGTTATTGTGGACAATTGTACTGTACTCCAAAACATGCAACCTGTCAACTTTTATTATTACACAAAAAGTAATGACGGTGACATGAAAAGATCAAAAACTGGGTATAGGTGAGTTTAATATGTATTTATCAAAAATAAGTACAATTTCAAATTTAAAAAGAGTAATGGTGTTCGATACCTTGTTTCTTCCGGACTGTCCAGATGCTGAGACACGCTGCTGGGAGCTGGCAGCAGGAAAAGACTGGGTCGGAATGTTCAACATGTTGCGAACACTTCGTAGACAGTTCCACTTTCCGAGACAATCTATTCAATCAATAGTAGATTATCACAACACGAGAGCTGACACGTTTGTAGTCCGACTGACTGCTAGGTGTCTGCAGGTTCTTCCTGGGTTTAAACACATAATTTCAACAGCTGAGTTGAGCAATGTTGTTTAGCTGAAAGGCTAATCCATGCTAAGCTATGTAGAAATCATTTTCGCATCAACACATTGTACATGCGCTAGATAATTTTCGATTCGATATGAAAAGCGACCAACATAAAGATGTAAGAACTATAGACATTCAGACTGCAATTCGGAGTGCGGCGCAATTGTATTGTTCCGGGTTTTCCTGTCTGATAATTGACTACAATGTTGTCGCACATTATGACGACTACGTCAACGCGTGACGTCAATAGTGTACGACGGGCTTTATTATGATGATTATAACAACAAAATAGGCCGAAGTGACGTCATTTACAAATCTAATGTCGTTAGAAAGTAATGGTTTAGCTGCAATAGTTATCTGAAAGTAATGGTTTAGCTGCAATAGTTATCTGAAAGTAATGGTTTAGCTGCAATAGCGAGTGCAATGGTAATCTACATAAAATAAATCTGCTAAAATAATAAAACAAAAATTGACCTTTGGACTGGACACTGTCATCATCTTCTTCTTTTGAATCTCGCATCTCGCCTTCTAACATTTGGAAAAGATGTCACCTCTGGCACACAGCCTAACTCTTCCTTGAATCATGGCAAATGAAGGGTTTGCTTTTTAAAAGGCTTACCAGCTAAGAGGATTTGGGAACACAAGTACTGCCACTTCTCGAGAAGACTGCAGAGACATGGCTTGTGAGAGGTGTTCAAAAAACGTACAAATAAATAATTAGAAATACATTGTAATAAAGCTTTATTAGACATAATGGGTGTCAATACCCTTCAATTCCGTCACAGTCTTCATAGTTTGTTGGTATTGAAATCGTGTGTTCGAATATTTAAATGTTTATTTGTTATTTGTTTATATTCAGACATGTTCAGTAATGTTTCTTTCTGTGACGTTACCAGCAGGTGGCAGCAAAGATCAACTACAGTGTTAAAATAGCAACAAGGCTTGGTAGCGTTGGTTTCAATATTCATTTTATATACACTGTAGGCCATTTCAATATGTGCAATAACACTATAAATTGTTGTCTCTTGTTACATCCATTTTTTTTGTCAAATGTTACAGTTTATAGTATAATTCTGACTGTGATCTGTCATTTAGAAGTGCCTTGTTGTCAGTGCTTCTTTCTCCAAATTTTCTCTGTTATGTTCTTTTATTGTAAATCGCCCCCGTCTTTACCCTCACAATTAAACTAGCACAGATAATTACAATTTCACAACCATTTGCCAGATCATTACCAGCTAATCCCATGTTTGGTCTACTGAGTCATGTTTTTTGGGGGTTAACTGTTAATTAAGGCTGCCAGGGATTGTTGTACTTTCAAAACCAAAAAAAAAAAAAAACAATCTTCAAAACAAAGTTTTTCACTTTCCTTATTTATTTTTTTTTTAATCCAAGTTTCCACCAAGTTGTGAACATGAGCAGCCTTGTATGGCAGCAGGCACTCCAGGCTGGTCCAACACAAAGCAGACACAGTTGATGTTGGCAGAGATTGCAGTTAATTATGTCCTTAACTTGGGTGAGAGTAAAACCACCTGGTTAACAGCTTAGTGCAGCCACCTGAAGGTGAACATGCTGTATCCAAAGCCTGTGATGTTAATCGCAATTAGCACCTTAGCATGTGTCTGTACTGCCTTAAGCAATGTTAGCGTGTAGCTCTGGTAGCAACACATGCCTGGTTGCAGAGATACTGTGGTCTTGTTTTATGGAAGTATTTATTCTCTGCACACTTTGGACAGAGCCCTAATTATGATGTGTAAGTGGTGTAAATGGCATTATAATTGTAAAGATTTTTGGAAATTGGAAAGATTTTTGCAACGTATTTGGAGGGTTACGATATCCATCAAATTACATTTAACAATATTTCTGTTTTGTGAAATATTTCGCTATAAATATTAGCACTATAAATACAAATTAAAACAAATTACTCTATAAATAAATAGATAAATAAATTATTAAATGAAAACAGAAATAAATATAGAACATATGAGAAGTTTCTTAATAACATAACATTATCTAAGTTTTAATTAATATTAATATACATTTTAAAAATGTAAAAGATTATATTTTTTCTTACAATCAATCAATTCTCGATTAAAAGCGTGTAACAATAATGCCACGAAACGCTCTCTCTCTCTCTCTCTTTCTCACACATTCACACTCTTGCACACACATTTGTCACCTCCCTGCCCTCACTTTTGTCTTTTTAAAATAACCTTAACTCTTCAACTCTGGAGAAAAGAAATCTCTCATACTCTTGACCCCATCTTACTTTGATAACCATCTTGTCACTGAATTTAAGTCCACTGCCTGATTGGTTTTCAGTGTGTGGTCTTTTATTCTGTATCTGGTTCCTGACACTGAAAATGATCAGATTGTAACACTGGAGTAATGACCTCTCTGACATTCAACCGTCATTTGATCCATTCTACATAAAACCTGAATTAGTGTAGTTTTAAATATCTGAGCAGAAGTGTAAGTGCAGGGGACTTAAGACGGCAGTCAGTTAAAAGCCTTTAATAAATCTGCCTTTATCCTTTCTTAAATACAGCTGTATCTTTGAGAGGTGAGATCTGTGAACAAGCATTGCTTCCCAGGTCCTTCCTGACCCCTCACCTCTGACCCCAACCTGTTTTTCCGAACTTATTTGGTTTGCCTTGAACTTTTGAAGTGAAATGACCCAACCCGACTCACTGTGACTAACTCAGATTCGTAGTCACACCAGGTCAGCAGTCATTAACACCAAATACTCTTTATCTTTGTCTTCATCAGTCAGACAGTGCAATTGGGGAGTTTTCCACATGCATTTTCTGAGTAAAACCAGAACTTCACAACTAGGCTGTCAAAGTACTTTGCTGCCCACTGTGGTTCACTGAGAGGCTGAGGAAGTACGGAGAAGAATGGTGGTCCTGTCAGTGAGGGGTTTATGAATGACTCTGCAGACAAACTCACAGCAGGAGAGAGCAAACAGACAGACAGTCAGACCTGCGGGGGGCTCAGCCGACTTGGCTGGATGTGCTCCTGTTTCTGAAATGTTGCTACAGGAGGAGTGTTTATGATGAACTGAAGCTCGTCTACCTAAATAGGTCAATTATAACTGTTGTTTTGATAGGTGATTTAGACAGAATAAGAAGTTCACATTTCAAAAATAAGCCTTGTTATTTGTGATGAAAAAAATGTAAAATTTAGTAACTCATTTTAAATTATAAGGTGGTGAATACTGGGATTGAGGTTATCACTTAACATCAATGCAACGTGACTTATCTCATGTCTATTCAACATTACTAGTGCATGTTTGACCACATGGACAAACAAATGGTTTTTTTTTTAATATGCTATTCAGATTCTGATTTTTTGTCTGATTTTTAAAAGAATATACCAAGTATTTGTGTGAGTGTGAAGTGTGTTGGTCTCTGTGTGTATAAGTTTGTTATGAAGTGGCTACCTGAATGTTCCAGTGGCCCACCTTGACCTTTGAAGAGCTGTGGTTGACCTCAGGTGTCCATAGTATCTTGAATGAAACCCATCCAGTTATAAAGACAATGTCAAAAGAGATGACTTATTGAACTGTGGTCTCCTCATGTGATGATCAACCCAATACATTACCATTAACTAACCATCCCCAAGTTACTGATTCACTAAAAACAAAAAAAAGTAAAACAAAACTTTAATTTTTTTTCTTTTGAAATGAAATATTACCTGATTTTTTGCCTCATTATTTTACCTTTCCTGTCATTTTTTCCACATCTGCCCTCTCAGGCCTCGTCTCATAAATACTGTGTGTTAACGTAGTCATGACAAGGTTCACTTATCTTAAGCAGTAACAGTAAGTAGGACACAATGCACTCATGTCTAAATGCTGTCCTCCATAATGAGTCTGACCTTTGATGTCTTGGTAAATGTTCCGCACTCATTGTAATTAATGGAAGCAACATGCTCGTAATAATTGCTTCGTGCCTCGTTGCTGACAGTCCTAATAAAGTAGAACAGGGCTTATTAATTACTACTTACAGGGTGCTAATGATATCCCATGCAACCCTGAGAGGTCGCAATGGAATCACCACTGAACAGGTGAAGGTCTGCTCGTGGTCTAAAGAGAAAAGAAAAAACACATCTCTGAAGACGAAGAAAAGTGTAATAAAAGTCATTATTTAGTTCATGTCATGTTAGTTTCACTCCACTCCAGTTGTAAAAACTACAGAAACACGTTTTATAACTTCAGAAAATGTCTAATTCAACAAAAAGTGGAAGTAATATATTTATATTTAATTTTTATGACATTTTTGAACTGTTCATTTTTTACCTGGTTTGTTTAGCACGAGGGCTAACTTTTAATTAGGGTTGTTTCATACTTGTTTGCAGGACTATTTTATTTAGTTCACAGCAAACAACAACATTTTAAATCTACACTTTATAAAGCAGAATTTTGATAATTGTAAGTTCATTTATCTCTTAAAACTTTGTTTGGGTTTGACTTTGTCATTTGCAAGTTTTGGTTTTTGACTGACAAAAACCAAAAACTGGCAAATGACAAAGTCATATACTAATAATAATATACTTTCCATCATTGACTATCAACAGGATATAACGATGAAAGAATAAATGAATGTTTCGCATCAAGTTAGAAGTTCCATTCCAACAGCCTGGGGGTCAATGGTCAAAGGTCAAACATTGTCCTATTCACCTTGACTCTTCCACAGTGTCGATGCACCAAACCGCCTCAGGTCTTCACTTTGTGTTGGCAATGCCTCACTTTGCACTTTTCCTGAGTCGTAAATCCTGTTTGCCCTGTGATAACAGCGAGGTCTATGTTTACCAACAAGTGGCGGTGAAATTTCTCACCTCTGAAAGGTAAATATGTACACTCCCACACTTCACTATCTCAGACACGAGGGAAAGATAAAGAGAGTTAAAGTCAGGCTGACAAAGACTTAAGGAAGAGAGTCAGCGAGAGAGAGAGGCCAGGTTTGGGGTGTAAACAGTGGTTTGACAGTGTGAGCACAGCTGATAGTGTTTATAACTCACTATCTCCCTCCATAGGCCCGCGATTGTTCTTGAAAGCCCGCGGCCATCTTTTACAGCATAATTAGAGCGTATTTTACTTAAACACACCCACGTGTTGTATACATTTCCATGTGTGTGCCTGCACTTCACCAACGATCTGGAGCCTGGCTGAGACGTGGCTGTGTTACATGAGCTCTTCAATGTTTATATGCCGTGAAAATGTGGCTGCCCTTATCAACAACATATCTCACATCTTGCCTATTTGTTTGTTTGTGTTTTACATCCAAACAGACATGGAAAGAAGTGTGTTTTTCATTCATCTAGGAGGATTTTTTTTTTTTTTTCAAAAAAATCTTGTCAGTGTAGTGGAATGGTTTTTGTAGACCCGTGACATTCAGGAGAAGTACTAAAGGATTATACTTTTTGCAGCCTCACTTATATGTTAGTACTTGGCAGTTTTTGTCCTTTTTAATCAAGCAGCATTATGTGTAGTTGTACAAAAACACAGTCAAATATAATTCCAAGACACAGACTGTAGTCTTGTGGAGTCTGTAGTTTAGCTACTGTTGGCTGACTGTGGAGAGAGTCACATAATTAAAACACAGGAACCTGGCCTTTTGTAGCTTGTTTTTTCACTTTCTCCTACTTCTCATTTCACACAACAAAGGTCTTGTGGTGATATGTCCAACACTGGACATATCTGTCCATCATTGGTTCCTTTATCTGGACGTTTGGAACTTAAACATGACCTTGAGGGTCAGCAAATTGGATGAGGTGGATTAAATCTGCATTTCAGACTTTAGCAAATGGGTTTGACAAATGATGAGAGTGATAATCTTTCCTGACTTTTCAGTTGTTTTAGTTACCTTTACAATGCTAACAAGCAAGAAAACAGACATGTTTTGAAATGTTCATCTATGCTAACTGCACTGTACCTCATCACCAGACATCCCATTCCTTTCAGGGCTGTTTTCCCTGTCCCACAGCACACCTATATATATATAATAGGTGTGTAAAGATTTAATTCATCATCCAAAACACACACCAGCCCTCACCAACCCACTACATACAATTAAACATCAATAGTCAACCAATGCTTTACTAATCAGCTGAGCTGCCTGTGGCCTCGTCTCCTGCTCCACTCCTGGTGTAGGTTTGATATCTGATTATGTCAGGTCACTCATCCAGATGGACCCACGTTCAGACAACAGATCTCTCCAGCCTTTACCACACCGGACCTTTGACCTCTTGTGTTGTTGCCTTGGAAACCTGTTCAGTTCAAGATGAGTAGGGGGGACGTGAGGGGAGAACCCAGAAGGAGGGTGAGGATGGGGGAGGTATATGTTTGGCATTCTGGGCTAATCTCGCGGCTGGTTAAGCTCCATGAATAGAGAGTGAGCTGGCCATGAACATCTCAACCCCGTCCTCTCCCTCCCTCCCTCCAGACTACATCCCCACCTCCCCACCCTTAACACCCTCTAACCCTTCTCTCGTCCCTGAGTGTCTCTCTTCTGTGTCTTTTGTTGGGTTACACAACTGCGGATTCTCGTCTCTAACTCACTTCTCTCGCTCTCTCTCCTCCTTTTTCCATCTTTGTTGCTGTAAGGCAGATGGTTCAGACAACAAACATTCGTCAGATGTCCAGCATTCCTGACCTCCCTACTAATAAATAAACTGCAAGAAAGCAGGAGATTTAGCTAACAATACATTTTATTTGTGGGCCACAGATGTATTTAATTGTCACATGCAAAAACATTTACTTAGTTAGTAAAATACATGATGCAGATGGCACCCTGGCAGACTATATATTACTTTGGATATTTATCTTCTGTTTTCAAATGTACTTGATAATCTGGCATTATTCACTTATATATGTATGTAAACAAAAATGGTAATAATGTACA